CCGGATCTGATGTATTTTTAAAATTTCTTAAATAGAATTGTAATTAAAAAGAGAACCTGGAAAAGTTGCTTCCTATAGTGCTCCCACTGATCCCACTGATATGGAGTGTGGGGGATAAAAAGGACATTTAGCAAATAGTTCATCTGAAAATACAAAATTAACCAGCTTCTCCTTGTAATGGCTGGAAATTCCTCATAAACTGTTTTGGCATTCCACAGGAATTTTATGAAAGGTTTGAGGTTTTGACTTTGTCCTCTTCTCCAGCTGAGCTGAAATATCTTCAGATTTTCTCAGATAACTTTGATTAGGGAAAACGAATGAATTTTACTTCCTGTTCAGATCTGCATTAGTCACAGGCATAAATGATGGGATTGCACTGAAATAGTCCATTAAAATAACATTAAAATACTTCCATGTAATATTTGTGGGTTAATTTTGCATTTATCAATTCAATTAACAATTGTTAATTTATCAATTACAGGTTTTTGCCCTATGTAGGAATGGTAACTATAATAATGAATGACTACCCAAAATTTAAGGTATGTGTACTGACATCTTGAATACTTGAATTGTTAAAATAACAAGTACAGACAGGAAGAACCTTGCCTCCAAACATACACGTTAATAAATTTGTGTCTGTGGTTTGGTGCCTAATGTAGGATGAGCTGGGTTTCCCTGCTTACTGTTGGACAGTAGAATTTGTTGTTTGTAATTAGTTGAAAACATGTAATTTATTAGAATTTTGTTAGTTAAGTTTATCCAGTTGTGCTGCCTGGTTATGATGAATTTGATCACCTTACAATCTTCCTGCAATTCTGTAGGAGCAGAGCTCTGTAATTTTGGAAGGTGTGGTATTTTAAGTGGGCACCTTTAGAACAGTTTGTGCTTTCAGAGCTCAGTGGAGAGCAATGGTAACGAGTCTGTGTTCTGTGTTTCTTTGCAGTATGCTCTCCTGGCAGTGATGGGAGCATATGTACTGCTCAAACGGGAATCCTAAACACAACAACACAGGCAAATATACAGGGGGAAAAACTAATATATTTCAGATGGTTTCATTTCTGTATACGGTTACAAAACTGTGCAAGCTTTTGTCTTGTCTAAATAAATGACACCTAATGAGTGAAGCTGTTGGCTGCTGGCTCATTACAAAATTCCATCTTTACCACCTTCTACAGACTGCTCTCAGCTAGCCTGGCACTGGTTTGGAGGGCTGTCGTGCTGGAGCAGCTAAGGGCTCTCTCACCGTGCCACAGTGGGTTTTCTTGTCTGCTGCTGCATCTGAACCCACTTTTGCCCTCCTGTTTGTTTTGGGGGTTATTTTTAATCTGTCAGTGCCCTCTTTTCTCCGCCATACTAATTGTTTGGATCAGTGCTTGTAAGGACAGAATCTCTGAACAGGTAGCAAGTTCTAGGAGTTTAGTCACACTTATGCCTAAGTCGGCTGGCTGTGGCTGACAAAAACAGACGAGGAGGGGACTTTCACTCTGCCTTGGTACTGAGCAGTGGGGACTCAGAGCTTTTTCCCTGAATTTGAAATTTGCTCCTTCGTGGGGTAAGGAAAAAAGCCCAGATGGCCTGATTTTTAGAGGCCTGGTTCTTAGGGACTGTGTGTATTGCTAATGTTCAGGCTGTTGACGATTCTGCCTTTTGTGTTCTTGCTCTTAAACAAACCTAACAAAAGGGTTTTCTGGGGCTTTAATAACACTCATAAATTACTGAATGAATAGCACAGTAGTACACTTCAGGGATATTGCCGAGAAGGGGCCAGAACTCTTATGCCAGTTTAGAGAATGTATTATTCTCTCCTATCATATAACACCTGAATAGTGTTAAACATAAAATTGATTTTTCATTTAAAAACTTACCTGATAACTGTCTTTTATGAAATTTGGTATTTTTCTCTTACCTTCAAATGTCAGTGTTGCAGCTTCAACAAAGCAGAACTTGTTTTCCTTGCTGGCTTTGTTTTTGTAGCTTTGATAAGGAACAGCATGATGCTTTTTTCCTCTGGAGTTCTGTTTCTTCTGTAATCCCTTACTTCTGCAAAAATACTCTATTATACAATAATGACACCTTTTTCTGTTGTAACAGCTCATGCTCAGCAGACAACTGCTGAATTTCTCCAAGTAATATTACTTCTTTTGTGTCCTATTAAGCAGTTTTCACATCCAACTGTATTATAAAAATTACTTACTTTGTGTCAAATTGTATAGAAATAAAATTGAGTATAATAAATGGCATGGCAAAATAATGTTGGGATCCTTAATGCAGTCTTCCTGGAAGTGTATCCTCCCAGTTAAGAAAAAATGATGTGTTTTTTGGAGACAGTGTGTGTGGAGTAAGATTTTTTTTTTTTTTTTTTTCTCTTGGTATTGCTGAAATCCAGATTTATGCTGTCCACCTACCCCAGTGCAAGCACAGTCAGCTCTGACTTGGAGAGTGCAGTTGGACATTTTGCATCTGGCCAATGTGACACTGGGATCCAGTCCCAGGAGTGGCTCAGAGCTGTGCTGGGGGGATCAGAGTGGGTGTTAAGAAGCATTTCCATACTGAGGGGGTGCTCAGACCTGGAGCAGCTTCCCCAGGCTCAGCATTCCAGCAGCACTTGGACAACGCCCTTGAGTGTCTGGGCAGCCTGGAAGGGCTCAGGCTATTGGGCTGGATGGTCTCTGTAGGCTGTTCTGGTCCACAGGCATGTCCATAAATGCTTCCATTTGAATTCTCCAATTATTGAACCCCTCCACCACAAAAATCTTAAACCCAAACCTGTGGCTGCCACAGCAGCCTGGCACATGTTAAATATGCAGTGAGCAATCACTGTGGTCAAGCTTCAACTGTCCCAGGGCTTCCCAAAATGCAGCACAAACAGTATCAACTATCATACACCGGGCTTTATTAAATAAATGTTATTATTTCATATTATTCAGCCTCTGTAAAGTTGTGGAGCTCTCTTCTGAGAAATGTCTTCAGTTCTTCAGGGAGCTGTTGCTGCACTGAGTCGATGTTGAGGTTATTTGCAGAACACCTGCCCTGAGTGTAGGTTGGAAATGCTGGAGATTAGTGTATTCAGCATCTTCAACATTTACAGAGTATTCCTCAGCGATCATGCCTGTTATTACGTTGGAGATAGTCCTCCACCAGTGTTTGTTCTGTATGTGCGTCCTGGCTGTGTCTAACACCGGGATCCCTACAAAGAAGATGATGAAAGGCACACCATTCTTACATTATCCCTTTTTATAGCCATCAAATGTGCGTTGCTGATAGAACAATGATGCTTGTCTAAAATGTAAAGGAAGCAGATTAAAGAGTGTTATCGTGGTAATAGCATTTAAAAACCATTCGTGTTTTCCTGCCGTGAAGCACGGCAACGTTTTGCTTTGCCATGGGTATATGAAAAGGGGAAGGGTATTTTAAAACAGAGACTTGCTTCTTGATGTTCAAACACAGATTGATGTTACCAGGCTTCTTCTTAAAGAGAAAGATTGTCTTGAGTGAGTTGAGTCACTCTCAGTTCGTAACATCCTTTGGTTGTACCTGGTTCCTTTTGTATTGTGGGGGGTCCAGAATAATATTTCCCTATATTATCAAGTTATTTATTTTTCTTAGAAGGGTAATAAATTAAGAATTAGAATAAATCCTTATAAACAAGTAATTAAATAAGAAAGACATAGCACATATACAACATACGAGAAAGGTTTATTTGTTTGCATTGTATTTTCAGTAAAAGAGATTTGGGACTACCAGGCAACAAGGAACTGAGTAAGAACTCATGTTTGGTTGGCTTTGGTTTTGTTTTCTGAAAATGGACAATTTCCTGAATTTTTCAATTTCCTGCCTTGATTGCTCCAAACAATTAGAAGTTTCTCTAGATGGCAATATTTTATTTGATCAGCTGTCATTCAGCACAGAGCACGTCTCTAGCTGTCTTGCAGAGTGCACATTGAAACTTCAAGCATGAGAATACTATTGTGAATTAAGCAGGAATGCATAATTAATAACCAAAAGAAAAGAATGAATCACAATCAGTAAACGAAAACGAAACAAGGGAACAATTTGGCTCAGTACAGCAGGATACACAATTGACTTCAAAAGGAATTGTACAAGAGTTTGCCCAGAAATTATGTTAATTCACATCCGTGGGAGCTTCCAGTAGGGATAGTTCAGTTCTAGTCGTGTGGGGCTAGCTGGAGGAGCTGGCGGGTTCCTTACAGTCAGCTCTGCTCCCTGTATATCCCACGTCCTGCCATAGTTCTCTAGACAGCAAAATTATCACATAAACTGTCCCCATTACACGTGGCTTCATCCTGTCCCTGCTGTTCTCCTGGGTGACAAGTGGCGCATCAGGACTTCACATCTCCTCACGGCTCACCCACCTTCACTGCAGTGAAACCACTTTCTGTATTCCCCTTCAGAGCGTTTCCAGGGCTGCACTGTCTCCATCTTTTCCCTGCACTGCCTCTTCAGTCTGGAATTCTTTTCATCCGTTTTCTACAAAGTTGGCCAGTTGCAGGTACCGCAGGGTGCTGCGAAGTTTACAGGTTCCCTGTGCAAGGAAAGCAGCAAGTCCCGTAAATGCGCTTCCACTTTACTGTCACTTGTGACAGGAAATTTAGGCGATACTGGAAATTAAAGTAAGCTCTTTGCACGAGGTTTTCTGTTCCAGTGAGGGACAGCGAGACCCTTTGCCCCAAGTGCAGCCGAGCCGAAGCCCGCACGGTGCGGTCCCGCAGTGCGGGGGTGACCTCGGCCCCTGCGGCTCCCGGCTCCCCTCAGCGGCCCCTCCGCGCCTCGGGCCGCCCTCTGAGGAGCTCCGGGCGCCGCCGGCAGCACCGCCCCGAGGTGCCCCGGGCCGCCCCCAGCACCGACCGCCGGCGAACGGAGCGGGGGAACGCGAACCTGTGGGACGCGCCCGTGTTGCGAAGGTAACCGAGAGAGCGAACGGCCCCCCCGCCCAGGGCAGCGCCCGGGGCCGGCGCCGCCTCAGCTCCCCCCGCGGGGCGGGGAGCGGGCCCGTGAGGAGGCGCCAGGCGCGGGGGCTCCGCTGGCGCCGGGCCCGGCTCCGGATAAATGGGGGGCGGCGGCGGCGGCACTCGGGAGCCTTGGCGGAGCCGGAGCGGAGCGCGGCTCGGGGCAGCAGCGGCGGCACCCGCAGCAGGGCACGATGCGGGGCGGGCGGCCCGCGGCGCTGGCGCTGCTGGCGCTGGCGCTGCTGACGGCGCAGGGCGGAGCGGCGCCCCTGCAGCCCGGCGGGACCCCCGCGCTCACCAAGATCTACCCTCGCGGCAGCCACTGGGCTGTGGGTAAGTGCGGTTTAGCTCCTGCCAAGGCAATGGAACGCGCGGTTCCCGCGTCCCGTGTCGAGGCAGGGTAAGTCTAAAACCTACAGCTTCTCCGTCCACTTTTATTCCAGCAAATCTTGCCAAGCGCCTCTCTCTATCTCCAGGCAAAGTACTTGGTTATCGCTGCCCCTTTCTCAGCCGCTTTTCTCTGACAGTGTAACACAAGAGACAGAAGAAATTAATTGTATGTGACGCTGACAAAATCTTCAGTCCCAGTAGTGCTACAATTTGACACTATCTATCCCCTTCCCTTCCCTTCCCTTCCCTTCCCTTCCCTTCCCTATCCCACTGATGCTTGAACAATCAAATCTCTACCAGTTTTGGTTAATTTTGTGTTATTTTAATTGTTGTTACAGGACATTTAATGGGAAAAAAAAGCACTGGAGATTTTCCTTACGGTTCTGAAGAAGAAAACAAGACACCATTTTCAGCATTACCTGACAATATCAAGCAGCTGGAAGAGTATCTGCAATGGGAAGAAATCTCAAAATACTTGCTAAGGCTGCTAGAAAGGAATGAAAATAAAAGTGGTCACTTTTTAAAAGGAGGGCTTCCCTGGTATACCAGGAACACCTGGGACACAGATGACAATAACAGCTGGAAACACGTAAGTAAGATAAAACCTGTAAAGATACTCCATGTGTTCAGTTTTTGGTTTACAGTAACATATCAGATTCCTCTAACTGGTGGGTTGTCCAGAAAAGCAGCAAAAATGCATCTCATGCATTAGACACTGTGCAGTAAGACTCTGCTCTTGATTACAGATTATCACTCACCAATTATTTTTGATGACTTCGTTTGCTGCCAGGCATAAACACGGCATGCATTCAGTAGACTTTAGTGCCTGGGTTCCCTTCGAGCTGCTTGGTTGGGCCGTTCTTTTCTTCATGCTTAGGTGATCACCTGGCAGCACAAACTGCCCAGCAAAGCCAAGACAGTGTGAAAAATGAGTGTGAGGGCAGAAGGAACCACATCACACTGACTGTCCCCTTCCATCACCATTCAGGATGTTCTGCCTTGGGCTGAATAAAGCCGAGGGCTGTAGAATTTTCTCTGGTCCCGGGTTTGTCCCTTTTGTCCTTTGCCTTTCTTCCAGCCCATGGTGCTGGCTACTGCTGTGGTCATTCCTGGGTTTACTAAAGGAGTCTGGGACTACTGATAAGCTGCCCCTCCTCATCCCTCAAGTTAGTGTCCTTCCAAGTGCTGTTGCACAAGACAACAAGGTTTTGGAATAGATTAATCCCTATTCTTTTGGGAAATCCTATAAAATACACTGGGAAGGATAACAGTGAGGTTTTACAGAAAGTAATCGGGGTGTAATGCAAATCACAGGATCTACAAGAAAACTCCTTTTCTTACAGTGCCTCAGGCACAGTCATGGTGACAAAGCTGCAGAATTCTTTTGGGTGACAATGAAATAGAATAAAAAGATTAATACGCCCCCTTAAAGACATAACTGGGAAGATTTTTCCTTCCCGTATTCTACTGCAATATGATGTCATTAGTATTCCTGGACTAAGTGATGAACAAATTCCATTATTTAATGCAAAGAGGGAAATGTTCTGACTTCTAAAAGTAGCTGTCAATAAATCCTATTTAGGAAGGCTGGAAGTTGCCTCTGGTAAGTGGAATCATATCCATATGTATGTACTTTCACTGTAAATTAATATCCACGTTTCTGTGGTCAGACATTGAGCACCCTTATGTTATAATGAGGTTATTGCCTTAAGCATCCAGATTTCTGCAAAGATTAGTAAAAAAGCTCATGTTCTTCCTGTGACTAAGAGGACAACTTATAGAACCTCATTTGGCCATAGAACCTTTGATTTCCATCATTCAAGAGTTTCTTTGTCTCCACCCTGAAGTAAAATCTAATGGAAGTAGCTGTAGCTGTGCTTTCCTGCTGTTGGACACAAATACCTGATGATACACACCCTAGATAGGATATGATGACCTGTTTTCCCCTTGGCTTCAAGAAAGCACCCGAAATTTAAGGTATTTCTGGGATCTTCCTTCTAGATGAAGAAAACATGAAGATCAAAAGGAATGTGCTTTACTCTTTTGAGGGCTGTGATAGTTTCCTAAACATTTAAATAATGAGAATTATTTTTCTTTAAAAAGTTATTTTGATTAAAAGAGGCCTTATTTATAAAGGTAGAACTCTGATATATGGAATGTGGGATTCGTGTGCATAGTGGTACAAATGCATAAGTGGCCTTTAGGGATAGAATGTGTAGATTCATCAGGATGTGAGGGATTTCAGGTGCACATACTTTGGTGAGACAACACCTTGGGGTAAGGTGCTGCAGTACCACAGCTGTGGAAGGTGTCCATCCACAGAAGAGGATTACCAGGTGCAGGAAGCATCCAGAAAATTTGTCTTTGGCATGAAACACTTTTCCAGGCATATTTCGTGTGAGTTTGGAACAGAAACTTGTTCTAGGAGGAACCAGCCACCAAAACTGCAGCGGGTTACTGTTCCCTGTGCAGTGGCCTGTTGGAGACTGATACTAAATGTGACCGAAGGAAGGGAAATGATGAACCCTGCTGCCATCTTCTGGAATGGCTGTCCCAGGAGCACTGGGCCACCCAGGGCTGCAGTTCCCGTGCACTGACAGAGATGCCGGCCACGAGGAGTCTGTGTCTGCACACAGCAAAGACTGGCTGTGCTGGGAACAGACAGGCTCCAAGAACTTTGTTTCATGGATGCTTTCAAATTTAGCCGATTTAATTCAAAGCTGGAATTTTCAGTTTAAGATCAGGAAGCCCCAAAGCTAGAAGTAAATGCAGGTAAGTACAGGTAACTCAATTCAGGATCTTTCTTAGTAGCCCAAATCATCCCGTGCATCACCACTGATGCTCACACTGGGCTGTACATTTCTTAAGAAGAAAGGAATTCTTTTTAAAGGACTCACCCAGAGGAGGAAAATGGCTGTAACACACAAACAGTAAAAAAATGGAAGAGGTGAGCCTAATGCTTCTTGGAGTTTGGCTTAGGATAGTGCACCTGTGTTATTTTGTTTTCAGTTATACCTTGCCTGCTCTTTATTCTCTGAATAAATTACAGTTAATGTAGTTAAAGAGGGTGCAAATCTCTCCTGCAAGTTGGATTAAGTGCAAAAGTAAGTTGGAAAATAAACTTTAAATTGTTTCTATTACTTGGCTTTTTCACACTAATGAGACAGGATATAAATGAGATGGCACATAGAATTATTTGAGAGAATGACTTTCCTCCTACTTTGGCAGTTGGTTATTACACTAACCAAGACAAATGGGGTCTGTTTCAAAAAGATTATTAGGAATATGTTTGTTATGTGAATGCACAGAGCACATATCTGTTAGGCTTATTAACTTACAGTAGGTTTATTAACTTAGTGAATTACTTTTTTCAGGACTGGTCTATAAATAATATATTTCTCTTTTATTAGATGATGGACTATCTGCTTCAAGTTGTGAATATGAAAGAGAGCACTCCAAGCTGAAAGAAGATCACTAAATCATGAAGAAATTAAATACTTTCTGTAAGAGACTATATTTCACAAGCACTTGATTGTATCAGATAATCAACAAGGTCACTTTTCTGTACACAAGAATTCTTTTGTGTGAAGTACATATTTAAATACACATATTCTTGTATGGTTCAGCAAGAACTAAATCCTCTACTTCATTTTCAAGGTTTCTTTTTCTCATTTGAATGGCTTTGAGATATTGAGATGTATATATATCTATATATCTATATATATAGATATATATAGAGAGTAACGGAAGGGTCTTCCAATTAATTATATGACTTACTTATCGAATCACTTAATCTCTTAGTTCTGAAGTACATGACATTGAAACATTCGCAATAAAAAGTACCAAGAAAAAGGCGGAGTTTATGCTTTTATTTGAGCTAAGCAGTGAAATTCTCTGTGTAAAAGCCAGTAGCAAGGGCCGCTGCCTTTCCAGGACAGGGCTTGTGGTGCACTTTGAGCCGCTCTGCTGAGAGCCTCCGTGCCCCGTGTGTGCCCGGGAGGTGCCGCTGCCGCTCAGCGCTGCCCCCGCAGCCCCGGCCTGCTGCCGGCGGCTCCGCCGTGCGCCGAGCGGAACGGGCCCAGGACGAGCCCCGGCCGCCCGCTCCCGCCGCCTCCGGCAGGCGGCGCCCTCGGCCCGGCCGTGAGGGGAGCGCTCCGTGAGCTCCGGGACCGGCCGTGAGGGGAGCGCTCCGGTGAACTCTGGGACCGGCCGTGAGGGGAGCGCTCCGATGAGCTCTGGGACCGGCTGAGCCCCGGCCGTGAGGGGAGCGCTCCGTGAGCTCTGGGACCGGCCGTGAGGGGAGCGCTCCGTGAGCTCTGGGACCGGCCGTGAGGGGAGCGCTCCCGTGAGCTCTGGGACCGGCCGTGAGGGGAGCGCTCCGATGAGCTCCGGGACCGGCCGTGAGGGGAGCGCTCCCGTGAGCTCTGGGACCGGCCGTGAGGGGAACGCTCCCATGAGCTCTGGGACCGGCCGTGAGGGGAGCGCTCCCGTGAGCTCTGGGACCGGCTGAGCCCCGGCCGTGAGGGGAGCGCTCCGATGAGCTCCGGGACCGGCCGTGAGGGGAGCGCTCCCATGAGCTCCGGGACCGGCCGTGAGGGGAGCGCTCCCATGAGCTCCGGGACCGGCCGTGAGGGGAGCTCTCCGGTGAGCTCTGGCCCCGGCCGTGAGGGGAGCGCTCCCGTGAGCTCCGGGACCGGCTGAGCCCCGGCCGTGAGGGGAGCGCTCCCGTGAGCTCTGGGATCGGCCGTGAGGGGAGCGCTCCCGTGAGCTCTGGGATCGGCCGTGAGGGGAGCTCTCCGGTGAGTTCTGGCCCCGGCCGTGAGGGGAGCGCTCCCGTGAGCTCCGGGACCGGCCGTGAGGGGAGCGCTCCGGTGAGTTCTGGCCCAGGCCGTGAGGGGAGCGCTCCCGTGAGCTCCAGTACCAGGTGAGCTCCGTGGCTGCGGCTGTTTGCTGTATCTCAGTCGCACCACTCTGCCCGG